AAAAAAAAAAAAAAAAAAAGTCAAAACTGAAACACAAGTGTCAGTACGGAACAGTGCTATGCTACAGACAGTGAGCTCTGGATGTGGGCCAGGTGCTGGCGCAGTGGTAATGCACTGGACCCTCATGGGAAAGTCCTGGATTTTTTGCTCTGGGGCCTCTTGAGTCTGCTGGGTGCATGCCTGCGATCTGGGCTGGCCAAGACTGGAGGTGAACCATAGTGTGAAGACCCTGTGGAAGATATCTATTGCTCTGTCTCTCATGGAAGAAATATATGAATAAACTTAAGCAAAAAACCAACAACAGCAACTCTGGAGACCTGGGAGAGGTCTGTTGTTTCAAGTTCCTGGACAAATTTCCTGGTCCAGAAAGCACCCTTGAGGGGATCAAGACCAAGCCCAAATACCCATGGGATATTTTATGTATGCCCCCCATTGTTCACGGGAGTATAGGAGGCAGTATAACTTGGGGAGAGCCCAGGATCTCTGTCTCAGTTCTCCATCTCAGTTCTCCACATCAAACCCATCTCTGATGTAGTCACCCCATCCACGGTAATCAGAAGAGCGACTGTAGTTAAGGGCCCTCCTGCATCTTGTCTTTCATTACTTTCCAGTGTTTGGAGCTCTGGCCTAGAACTCAGCAGACAGGGGGTTAAGACTGATGCCCTGTCCTATCTCCTCCCCCCTCCATCACTGACTTCAAAGTCTTCATAAAGCTCCACACTGTTTCTCTGACCCCACAGTGGCAGTTCCATCATCGGCTCTTGGCTAGTTCGAAACAGCAGATGCTGAACCCTGGCCTGGCTGATTGCTCTCCTTTCTAGCCTTCTCCTAGGGTAAGCACCAGCATGCTGAGGACCTGTGGGCCAGTAGTTTTTGCTCCTCCAGCAGAGGAGGAGGGGCAACTAGGAATGGAAATTGACTCGCAGTCTCTCATGGTTAGACTTGGAAAGCATGCCACTGGCAGAACCCCTGGTCTGAGGACCAGGACTTGGGGACTGTCCGGTTTGCAATGAGAGCAGACGTTTATGGAAGTTAGGAAGTAAAGCAATAGGGATATCCAGCCCAGAGATGAAGGTAGTGGGCTGGTGATTATGAAGAACCTGGAAGGAGGCATACTAGAAATGGGAGCAGCTCAGGGACCAGATACGTTCCGTTAGTATTAATGTGCAAAATATACTCTTAGTTATACACAAAGCAATAGCCAAGCGTTTCTCTCCAGCTCTGGTGGTTTGATAGCCAGTGTTGTACCATTGCCTAGGATGGTGGTGGCCCTCTGGGGCCAGACCCTGTTCTGTAGCTCCCTCAGAAACCACTGCCACAGACTCAAAGCCAGTGGGAGCCTCTGAGGCTCAAGGACTATTTCTCCAATCCTCATCTGTGGATTCTTCAAGCTGTTTTTCTTGGCCCAAGGATCACTCATAGGGATGTGGAGGGGGGGAAGAGTAAGATACTGGTCAGAATGAGCTGGGGAAGAGGCAGATGTTAGGAAGAAGAGATGGAGAAATGGTGCTAGCAGCCCAGCCACCTGAGGCGGGCTACCTGGGAAGGACATCTTTGCAAGTACAGGTTATGCTGGGTATAGCGAGGTGCTCTTAGCAGGTAACTCCCCACTTTCCACTCCAGACAGAATCGTTCTGTGGAACACCTTCTTCAGGACTTGGCTGAAGCCTAGGTGTTAACACCTGGGGCCAGGACCATGTCTGCTAACAAAGGCTGGTGCCTGCCACCTGAGGGTGAGGATGGGGTGTCTGCAAAGTTCCTGAGGAAGACCCGGGAGTCTCCATTGGTGCCTATAGGTGAGTGGAGAAGGGGGTGGGGTAGGGAAGGGACCTTCTCATTGAGGGATCATGTCTCCTGGTCCTTCCGAAGGACGGAGAATGAAGCCAAGGTCACAGAATGCAAGTGGTCCTACCCAGCAAACAAGGGAACCAACAGCAAGGGTGCCAGGGGACAAAGTCTAACAATGAAGTGAGGGATTCTGGATGGATGGAGGTGGTGGCCTGGTGAGTGCCTGGTTCACTGAGAGCCCTGGGGCACCAACACCAGCATCAGGATGGGAAGGGTCCCAGGAACAGTTTGGAATCCCTCAGGGCTTCCTTCTTCAAGGCCCTGGGAGAGCAGGAAAACAGCTGTACCAAGATACAGGAGCCAGCAGTGGCTGGAGGAGGGCCCAGAGCAGAGCTGGGGGAGAGCCATCATGACACCAGGCTATTTGTGTATGGGGGAGGGGTATCACTGGAGGGAGACAGCCACTGAGTGTCACTGAGGAGAAACAACTCGATATCCTAATAATACAGCCCCGCCTCCTACAAAATTGCACCAAAGCAGCCATAGATCCAGGTGTCCAGCCTGCCTAGTGAGGACTCCCTCCCCAGGAGAGCATTATACCAGGTGGCTGAGGCTCAGGGGTCCTGTTCTCTGCCTTCAGGCTTAGGAGGCTGCCTGGTGGTGGCAGCATACAGGATTTACCGGCTGAAGGCTCGTGGACCCACCAAGATGTCCGTACACCTGATTCACACCCGAGTGGCAGCACAGGCCTTTGCGGTGGGTGCAATCATGCTGGGTGAGTAGCTCAGTGGGGTCACAGAATGAGGGGGAAACAGAGTGGGCAAAGCCTGGCTGCGAGTGTGACAGTGAATGGGGCCAGGCCTTAAGCGTTTTCTATACTAGGCTCCTTATCAAGGGTTTGGTGAAGTCTCCAGACTCATGCGCCTTAATGTCCTGTCCCAGGCCTGTGGGGATGGTCCACAGTCTACTTCCTATTTGCCCAAGAGGTGAAAAAAATCACATAGAACCTAGGCTAGACTGCTTCTCTTCTCTGGGTCAAAAAGCAGATAGCTAATTACTGTGACAGTGGACAAATCCCTTTTCCAGAATCTCAGTTTCCCAACATGTGGCTTGATGATAACTACCCCTGGCCTGCCTACCTTACAGGATGCTGTGTGGTTTCTCAGGGACAGATATGTGACATACACAAAAGCACTCTGTGAACTGTCAGATGCGTTGTTTCCCCAAAATTGTGTGGTCAGACGCTTGGAGCTGCTGTTGGGACCTGGGTCAGAAAGATGAGCAGAAAAACTGGATTTCCCAGGAAAAAGCTAGACTTAACCCCTGGCATGCCTGGGGTGCCAGAGAATACCTAAAGGGTCTGGTGCCAACGTGCGCTTTTCCTTCTGCCTCACAGGTGCTGTGTACACGATGTACAAAGATTACATCAAGAGGACAGCACAGGATGCTGGAGAGAAGTAGGACTGTCACAGGGTGAGGGCGGGCAGACCCCTCCAGCGATCCCTGGTATGCCTCTAATAAAGTAGTTCTGAGAAAAGTCAACAGTCTTTTCTTCATGGAGGAAAACAGAATAAGGGACTGGTGGTGGCCAATGAGAGGACTCAGAGCAAAGTGCAGCAAATCAAAGTGCTCTGGCCCTCCAGGGTAAGAGAGATTTTTAAGGGGTGTCTATTGAGGAGAAGGTGAAGAACTCAGATCCCAGAAGCCCACAACTCCCAGGCCACCTGAGGGCCCACCCAGCAGCAGCATGGAGTGGGAGTGGGCGGGAAGGGGGCAGTAAAGGGGCCTCGATTAATGCTCAAGGGAACACTGGGTTACAAGGCAGGCGTTCCTCCCACCATGGGCTGCTTCCCTGGGGACCCAGGCAGGAAGGAGGCTGCAGCTGGGAGCAGAGGCAGCGAAGCCTCATGGGAGATGACATATCCAGAACGTAAGTGCCAGGACTAAACAGGGCAGGGGGCGGGGGATGAAAGGAGCAGAGCAAGACAGAGGTCAGAATGTTCTGTTCACTTACAAATGGCTACAGTCAAACTTGTAAAAAATAAATTTTCACATAAGTCCCAAAGACAGGGCCCCTTGGGGTTTCATCGCCTTCTCTTTCTGAGTCCAACTCCTCTCTGTTCCTGGAAATGAGCCAGGCAGAGGCCACAGAGGAACCAGGAGGTCAAACACTCCTCCCTCACTGGGACTCTAGGTTGGAGGTTCATGGGTTGTTCAAGATGGCAAGAGCAGTGCCCAAGCACTCTGACAGCATGAAGGCCAGGTCATGCCGATCTCAGCTTCCAGTCCAGGAGGTGCAGCCCGCTACAGGGAGCAGGAGCTTCCCAGAGTCCCTGCACTCACATCGGGTAATTGAGGACAACATCCTGCTTGGCGAGCTCCAGCAACATAGGATCGTCGAAGAACTTGCTGATGCTCACGTCTTCACTCAGGCCCTGTGGAAAACAGGTGAATTCAAGAATGAGCCCTACAGGGAGGCTGGCTGAGCTGAGGGGCCTCAAGACCTGTGCTCGAGAGAGAGGGTGGCTGCATACAGTTAGAGCTGTTTCAGGAGCTGTGCCTTTGGGGTCTCATCACAGTGGAGAAGGCCTTCCTTTTCTAGCCAGACTGAGCCCCAGGTCTGGTTGCCCAGGGAGCATACAGAAAGCACCTTTCTACACGGTCTGTAGGTTATTCTCAGTCTATAGACCCCAATGACAAGGGTCCAAACGGAAGAAATGAAGAGAAATCCAACCTCTGCTGAGGCCCCTGGGGTCTCAGGGACAGCAATGGACCTGAGGGACACATACCTTCCTACGACGGGTTTTGATCATGAATTCTCGGGCCAGGTGGGGAGCTGGCTGTGGCTCCAAGGGGCGAATGACAATGCTCTTGTCTAGAGGATCACCAGGTACAATCTGAAAGGCAAACGGGTTTCAAGTGGTCCTGGTAAGCTTCTCAGGGGATTCGGGCCCAGAAGCAGGACTCTTCTCCAAGATGTGGACCTCTCACTTGGGGATCAGATCAGAGGGGATCAGCTTTGGGAAGGTAGGAGGCCAAGCAGGCTGGCCTGCACCTTTTTCTCACCTGCCAATGGTGGAAGACAGACAGGGAAAAGGCTTGTCCCTGGGTATGAGTCCGGAGATCAGTTTCAAAGCCAAACGAGTCAATGGCTGGGATGAAAGCTTTGATGGTGTAGAGAGGAGAACCTGGGATGGGTGCATCTTGAGTCACATGCCCCCTGAGACAGAAAAACAAGACTGAATCCCCAGTCAGATGAAGACCAAAAGTTAAGCAGAAGTCTGGTGTGTACTGCCCCTAAATGCAGCCCAGACTAGAATTACCACCAGATAACCAAGACTGGTCTACAGAAAGAAAAAGCTCAGGACTCTCAGTGCAATTTTCTGTGCAAGTTCAAGGGGTAGCTGCCTCCAAGCAGATGGGAGTGGAACAGTGATAGGACAAGGCCCCACAGACGTTCCCATCAGTGCAGTGTCTCAGCAGTTTCCCAGGGAGCCCTCTGCAAAGGGGGTTCAAGAAGACACCTCAAATTTTAATCAACAATAAAGTTGGAGATTGCTTGATTCGTCTCCTACTGTCTTCTGAAAAACAAAGTTTGTGGAGAGTGGAGGTCAGTCTCTTCCCCACAGTAGCTAAGGTACTCCTTGCTCTCAGCACTCCCCCAACACGCCTGGGGTGACTCACCTGCGCCTGGCCAGGACGGTATAAACAGCAGAGACACAATCTGCAGGGGCCTGGACCTCTACAAAGTAGTAAGGCTCCATCAGACGAGGAGTGGCCTGCAATAGAGCAAGAAGAAAAGGCTCTCGGCTTGGGGAAGAATGAGTGACACCCCAGATAAAGGGAAGGCCGGGGGACTATGGTCTCCAGGCCCCCAGAGCATGGTCTGCCACTTCATATACTGTCCAGGGAAGCAGGATGGTCCCCTACACCCCCACTCTCTTACCATGAGGAAAGCAGAATAGACAACTCTCCTGGCTGTAGGGATGATTTGGCCCCCACCCCGGTGCAGGGGCTCCTGGGCAACCACTGCATCCAGAATCTTAAACTTGACATTCCGAATCACTGCAAAGGAGAAGGGGGCAGATACTCACGGAGAGGCTCTGGGGTGGCGGCAGAGTCTCCTACTACATTGCAGTGATTTTTTTTTTTTTTTTCTTGAGAGATTTTTGGTATAGGGCGCGTGCGCTCGGCAGACAGACAGAGAGAGACAGAGACAGAAAGCAGGAAATCACCCCCCAGGGGGGATGGCCACGCTGCAATCCCTTCTCCTCCATTCTCCTCTCAGGATCTTGGGCATGCACGCACACATGCCCAGTGTGAGTTTAAGCCACCGGGTCTGGGACTCGAACCGCGGTCGACTATGTGGGAGTCCAGCGACATAGTCATTACGCTAACTGCTGGTCCTGCTACACTGCAGTGATTTTTGAGCCATGAAAGAAATGGTACAAAAATTACACTGGAGGTGAGTAGTCTAATTGGATGAGCGAGGGCTGTGGCAAAGAGGTCAGAAGTTCAGCACAGATTCTTAGTGTTTGTTCAGGCCATGCTCAGACGTGTGGAGCTTTCCTAGTTTATGTGCACCTTCTGTGTGTGGTTAAATTTTTTTAGATGTGGAATAAATTCTAGGAATTACATAGTTGGTCCCCAAATCAAAGTCTTTTAACCACTCCAATCTCGTTATCCTTCCTCTATTTTTTTAAAGACAGAGTCTGGCTATTCACAATCCTCATGTTTCAATCGCCTGTAGCTGGGACCACAGGTATGTGTGCAACACCAAGCTCTTTCAGACAGGATCTTGCTATGTTGCCCAGGCCAGCCTTGAACTTGTGATCCTCTTGCTCAGCCTTCCCAGTCGCTGAGATTATAAGCATGTGCCACTGCACCCAGCCTTTAGAACCTGGGCCTCCCATGGAGTCCAGCACAGTGTGGTAAAAACATGCATTACAATGGAGGAACCTCCCATAATCCTGTTGTGAATCTCTCAAATACCCAAAGCCAGATCTTTTTCAAGAGTGAGGACTAAATGTCAATCTAGAAATGACTTAATTTCCAGCATGTACCAAGCAGTGGCACCAGGACAGGGAGGGAAAGAAAATTGAAGCAGCTGGCCTAAGACATGGGAAAGCCCTGTGTGCCCCCAGCTGCTACTTCTGCCAGGCCCCAAAGATGGTACATGCATCCCATATCATATGCCAGGGTGCAAGGACTCTCAAGGACCACAGTGGGCAGGAAGCGCAGGTGCTGGCGGACTTACACTCATCACAGAGGGGCCCCTCCCTGGTGCCCCACTGGAAACCTTGAACGATGCTGTCCTTCACTGAGCCGAGAAGAGCCTTGTCCACCTGCACAGGAATATGAGGGTTCCTTAGCAATCACCCCAGCAACAGCTGATGAGTTTAGAAAGAGATATGCCTAGGAGAGGACACTCTCCTTCACCAGGGGACACAAAAAATACTTTTGGGAAAAGAATACTTTGTAGTTTCTTCTGCTCAGGAGTGATGAGACCATCCCACGGTTCCCACCATTCTCTGTACCTCAGAGGGCAGAGTATCGTCCACTAGAATGTTGGGGCCAGTGGCATCTGGGCCAAAAGCCCAGATGGAACGGGCAGCCAGCAGATCCCAATCGTACTTGGTCTGGAAGAACTCTCCCAGCTTCTTCCTGCAGAAGAGAGATGAAGGTGTCAGATAGCTCTGGGATTACTTCCCTCTGTGGAGGACAGTCACTGCTCATCCCACCCACACTATGCCCAGGACATTAGCGATCACTTCCCAGAAGGATGTGTGGTATTAGAGAGCCGGTAGATAAGCTAGTGGTGATCCCAGCTCCCTTCGGCCCTGGAATCAGCCATGTTCTCACCTGTTCCATGTGATCTGGACTACCTCGTTTTCTATGTCCTCAGCAAGGCCCTTCTCAAGGGGCTCAGCAATCATGGTGATCTTGTTCCTAGTCAGAAAGGAAATGGGTACTGAGGACAGGGGTTGCCAGAGCCAGCAGAAGGGCATTCCTAGTGGACAGCTGAGACAGTGCCACCAGTGAGAGCCCCAAAGGAGGGTATGGCAGAGGGCTCACCCTGTCTTCTTTCATTTGGTTTTACCAGTCTTTTAAAAAATGTTTGGAATTTAAACATAATTATTAAGAACAAGGGAGTTTACGTAGGCTGGGAGTAAAAAAGTAAAGTTTAGGGCCAGCAGGTGGTGTGGTGGTTAAGGTGCCGGACTCCCACATGGCTGACTGTGATCCAAGTCCCAGACCTGGCAGCTTGCCTTTTCACTCTCTCTCACCAAATTGAAAAGCAAATGAAATGAAACAAAATAAAAAACTTTTAAAGTAAAGTTTGGGCAAATTGTACAGATGGACATATTACAGAGAAGTGGCAATTATGAACCCCCTCCTGGAGTACCTGAGACAAAGAATTCCACAAGATCACATCCAAAGGCAAAAGGGAGGAGAGGGCTGAGTAAGACTCAAGACCCTAAGCACTACCCAGCAACTTAGAAGGCTCTCTTTCCACAGCTCTCATGGTTAGGGTGGAGCTGGGGAGGTTCAAGGGGGAGTGTCTTTGAGGCTGTCCGAACCAGGGACACTGCTCCCAGCTTACTTCTTATTGGGTGTTTCAGCAAAGCACTTGAGGGAGGACGTTTCCACCACGGTCTCACAAAACGTGACAACTGGGTCAGCCACCTGGGAAACAAAATAAATTGCTAAGTCAAGGACTCATTTATTGAAAGGATAACCTTCTACCTAGGGGGATTCTGAAGCTTCCTTTACACTGCTTCTGCCAAAGCCCTGCAGCCTTAATCAGCTAAGTGACAAGTTCCACAGCTGGTTAAGAGTTGTCTACACCCTCACAAGGAAGTGACCAAAAGCTGGGGATGGCCAACAAAGTACAGTCCT